TAGGTGGCAAATTAGTCTCAAAAACATTACCTGAAGTACAAATTAACACTCCAGCTTTCTGTGGATGTAGAACAGAGATCATGTTCCTGTTTTAGATGTTCTTGTTAGCTTATTAAGGTTGGATATCTCAGGAAATAATTATTCTCTAGTGGAAGAGTAGCATCTCATATTCATAAAGACAATAAGAAATTTTCCTTTGTAGATACAGAAAGGTCAGCATGACAGATATTTGCATAGTGTTAAAACTACAAAACCTCCACTAGTCAGAGTTGAAGGCTTGTTGCTGTAGCTTGCTGGAAAATACTTGTATCTCAACATATATCTTTTCTACTCTATTAGTTTGCTAGGTTGCCATAAACTAAGTACCACAGACTAGGTGATTTAAACAATAGAAATGTCTTGCCTCTCAGTTATGGAGGTTAGAAGTCTAAAATCAAAGTGCTGACCTCATTTCTTTTGATACCTTGCTCCTTGGCATGTAAATAGTCACCTTCTCCTTTTGTCTTCACATGGCCTACCTTCTGTGCAGGCACCTGTCTATGCCCAAATTTCCTCCTCTTCTAAGGACACCAGTCATAATGGGTGAGGGTTCACCTCAATGACCTCATTTTAACTGAATCAACTCTTTAGAAACCTTATTTCCAAACAGAGTCACATATTCCAAGGCACTGAGGCTTGGGACTTCAACATATGAATTTTGGGGGACACAACTCAGCCCATAACATTCTGGTCTTTGATCACCCCAAATTCATGTCTTCCTCACAGGCAAAATATATCTACCATTTTACTTTAGAACTCTAAAGCACAGCTCCCAAGATTTTTTACTAAAATTGAGACAGTTTTTCCTTGAAATAACAAGAAATTAGGGTCATCTTTCCTTTCTCTTAAAATAGGTGGTATATACTTCAATTATATTACTGATAGTAGCTAATTCACTCACCATACTTTTCCTAAAGTTCTGCTGTGTGCCAGCCCAGGGATTGTGGTAGCATCTTCAGATCAAGTTCTTACTCTAACAGTCCCCAGTGTATTTTTTCACAACCTGCCCAGTCTATAACTTTAGAAAGAACTCAAACCATTTCTCCTTTATCTCCACATCCTCAGTGCCTGGCACTTCATTATCAGCATTTAGTTTTACTACGTAATTGAAAAAAGAAAAAGGATTAGTTTGTAACTATTTTAGATGTAAATATTTTAACGTGTTGTGTAAAAAGCGTGTCTAGGAGTCCTGGTCCTATGCCAGCAATGTCACTCACGTTAATTTCTTCCATTGTAAAAAATGTGTTTTAGAACAGAAATCTCTAAGGGCACTTTGAATTCAGTAATTCCAGGGCTAACTCATATTTGGGGAGTCAGAGAGGCCTTCTTGGAAGAGGGAGCATTTGAGATTCATTGTGAAGTACAAGCAAGAGTCAGTAGAGAAGCATTTGGGGCAGTGGAAGGATCAGACGTGACAGCAATCCTTGTGTGTTTGCAAAATTTGACCCAAGTCCTGGGTACCATGTTGGTAGTTGAAGCCGAGTTTGTGCCTCTAGGAACACACAGTGACATTATTCAGGCTACACAGTGATTAATTGGCCTTTAAGTAGTAGTTGTTGTTTGTGTTTGTTCACCTTCAATTGCTATCTGGTTTAAGCTAGGCATGGGGATATATATTCTGCATCTCAACCTATCCTGTACCTAAAGCTTATAATAACCTAGAAAAAGAGGATGATCCTAGTAGACCAGTGGATAATATTATTTATAAAGACTCTGTTAAGGAAGCAAGTGACATGACTATCACAGCTTAAAATGCATGGACTTAGGGATAGCTTTTTTTATTACTCAGTATTGGGTTCACCAGTTAGATGAAATTATACAAGAAATGAACCTCCTTGTGAGACTTGACAGTAATACATGGTATTATATGACTAAAGGAGAGAATTAGGTAGAGTTGTGGATTAACTTGGGATACAAAATACCATAGTGTGAGTAGCTTAAACAATAGACATTTGTTTTTTTCACAGTTCTGGAGGCTTCCAAGATCAAGGTGCCAGCAGGGATGGGTTTTTGTGCAGTCTCTCTTCCTGGTTTGCAGGTGCAACCTTTGTGCTGTGTCCTCATGTGGTCTGAAGTCTGAATATACATAGAAAGAGAATTATCTGGTGTCTCTCTTTTTAAATAAAAACACCAGTTCCATCTGATTAAAGCCCACCCTGATGATTTCATTTAACCTTAATTGTCTCCTCAAAGGCCCTATCTGCAAATATAGTCACATTGGGGGTTAAAGCTTCAACATGTGAATTTTGGGGGTACTCAATTTAACCCATCATAATGTTTATACAGAGCTTTATGTATCATCTTATGTTAAGCATCATATGGATGAGGCGACCAGAACTTACCATCTAAACTCTAAAATAGTATCTCAAAAGCCAACACAATTCTGAAAAGATAACCAAGTTTCTTAATTCTGTCTCATAGATAAGATTATTCTACATTCCATTTTTTTCTCTCTCAGCCTAGCACATTTTAAAATAGGTTTGAAACCCAGGAAATTAACACTTTCAATTTATTCCCAGAAGAGATAGCTAATAAGTAGGGAAAATTAAAAATTTTCAGCCAGTTTGCTTTCATGTTTTATAACACATACCACTTTGGCTGTGGAGTAGTTTAATTTGAATTAATCATTAGACTCTCTTCAGAGTTAGAAATGAGGTGATATTTAAAGGAAGTTACATTGTTAGTATAATCTGACATCTAAAATTTAGCCTGAGGTGCAGTCATTTGTACATATGCATGATACTGTGCTTTTTTTTGCCCCCCAATTTTTAATGACAAGGATGATTTCCATTATAGAGGTTAAATGACTTGAGGGTGGGGAAAGACTCATGAAAGAAAGCCCTCTTACGAACACAGGGTAGGGGGTAATAATTTCCATCTGCTCTATCAGACTGGGTAGTCTTCCTAAGATGTTTGATCAGACACAAACAAGAGTGACAATAGAATCACTGAGTTACCTCAGTATTTTTAGTACATGGCCAATGTGGTGCAAATTTACAAAATACCACTGATTACCAAATCAGATTTCATTGGTGACCTGCATCTCTGTGGAGCTCACCCACCACACTGACAGCATTTCCAGGTGTACTTCTGCTGACAAGATGGAGGGAAGATAAGGGGCAAGGGATGGATGGTTGCTACCCAAAAATGTTTTCTCTCACTTCATGAAGGCTTTTAGAAATCACGTGGAACTGGAAATAGCAGATTTGGCTGGTCCCTTAGAATTCATTGGTATCATCATCCTACCTCTGTGCTTTGGTGAGCTGACCTGTCTCCAGTGACAACATTTGGCATTATCGGTGAAATCAAGCAATTCCTTTATAGAAGAAAAGCCTAACTTTACCCAGAACAGTTAGGCTTACGTCGTATCTCCCAATTTCTTAGACCTACAAATTTGGGATGAAACTCTTGACCCTCAGGGAATAGCTGCATATTTGACATTATTTTGGCATTTGGGGGCATTAGATGTATGTTACATACTTTTAACTTTTTGTCTAATTATGTTGCCACCAAGTGTCTAGTCCAATAGATGAATGAGGAATTCTTATTTAATAATATGACTTTTCCAGAAATGCCAAACATGATAATCACTGCAACACTTAGATATTATAAAAGGGAAATTCCTGTAAAGCCCTCATTTTAGTCCCCTCTGGATCTGTAGTCTGTTTCACAGCCAACTGCTTGCCAAACAGACCTCTGAGGCTGAGACCATTCATTTTTTCAGCTGTGGGGACCAGACAACAGGAATACAACTGGCCCCTCCAATGACCCATGTAATGTAGAAGATGACTATCACACCAAACCACCAGTGGGCAAATAGCTGGCTGGAACCCACTGTCCTTTTTTCTCTTTGTGCCCTGTGATGTTCACTTTTGGTTAAGTCTGTTTCTGCTACAAATCTCTGGCTTCTTACATGACAAAGATTCAAATAGACGAATACTTGTGCCTCAGGTGGAAGTAACCTGCAATGATGAGTATTGGAGAGTCCCAGCTAAGGATACTTACTTAAGTGGAACACCTCCCCCCACCCCCCAAATGGGATGAGACTCCTGGTAGAATCTGAGATCTCTGCATTTGGAGGGCCTCTGGGTGTTAAGAACTTCACCCACCTTCCCCTCTTTCTTTATATTACTCACTAATTCATCTGCTAGGATCATTTGCTGGGTTGTGGGACCACAATGATGAATAAGCCAGAGAAGGGACAGCCTTCATTAAGCTTTCAGTATAATGATGGAACTAGATCTGAGTTTTTCAACTTCAGTATTATTGACATTTCATTTTGGTTAATTCTTTTGGGGGATGGGGAGAAGTAGAACTGTCCTGTGCATCATAGGATATTAAACAATATCCCTGGCCCCTACCCACGAGATGCCAGTAATAACCTCCCTTACCTGATTGGAACAATAATAAAGGTCTCCAGACTTTGCCAAATATCCCCCAGGTGGAGAGGTAGGTACAAAATTGCCCTTAGTTTAGCTAGATTAATATATAAAGAAACTAACAAATCAATACATGTGTATTTTTAAGTTATTATAAATATCACAAAGGAAACAAATATGACACTAGGTAAGAGAAATTCATAGAATTGGATTTAATTAATGTTAAAGGGTTAGGGGAAGCATCTTTTAGGAGGTGATATTTAAGAGAAGACCTAAAAGGATCATGGTGAATATAGAAGTGTTACACAAAGACCAATACTTAGGCCCAGCTTGAGGCAAATGTTGATCTATTCATGGAATTAAAGCAGGCCAGTGTGAGTGGAGGGACTCGAGGGCTGATAGGAGTATGGATTTTATTATAAGTGTGGTAGGGGGGTGCCTGGGTGGCTCAGTTGGATAAGTGTCCAACTCAGGTCATGATCTCACGGGTTTATGGGTTTAAGCCTCGTATTGGGCTCTGTGCTGATAGCTCAGAGCCTGGAACCTGTCTCAAATTCTGTGTCTCCCTCTCTCTCTCTGCCCCTCCTGAGCTTGTGCTCTGTCTTGGTCTTTCAAAAATAAATAAACATTAAAAAAAAGTGTGGCAGGAAAGCTTTGGACAATTTTAAGCATGGAAGATATAGTACTTACATTTTAGGACCAAGTCAGCATCATTACTCATTCTATTGTGTGAAGGCCCTCTGCGTGTTTCACTTGTGCTTACAGGGGATACAAAGTAAAGGAATAGAATCCTATGGAAAATACGACAAGAGCCCCATCAATATGGGAAAATTAATTTGCATCCAAACCTGCCCTTAGATTCTATTTCATTTAAAAAGAACTGATGATGGTACAAAATCAAAATGGGTAAGTGATAAGATGTGTGTGAAATGTGCTGAAGATTACTTTCCAACCTGTAAAATGGGGATCAAAAAGAATGTATTAAATATCTGTTAATGAAGAGTGAGAATTCAGTAAAATCTTATTCTATGTCAACATATTTTAATTACTATTATCAAGAACAATATTAACTTCATTAGAAGCCAAAGTTCAACTGAATTAATTGTAAAGATCTTTTTGGATTTATTCAACAATTTCTGAGTTGGGCAGTATCCCATCTAGCATATGGAAAGGAGCTACAAGAAGCTTTACAAAATGAAAGACTTCTATAAGCAGAAGGTAGTGGGGACAAGAGAGTTATACCAGCCAAAAGCAGACTGGTTGTAGCAAGGTCACTTTCCTTTGGGGCATCTATCAGATGGATTTCCTAACTAATGCTGATCAGGCAATTCCTGATTAACTGGGAGAGCTGAAACTACAACTGAATCTTGGTGTGGAGATGTGAGGATTAGCATAAGCCACTCCATTTGGGGCCTGTTTTGTTTTTAACAACTTCTTCCATGTTAAGTATCATGTTTTATCTCCTACATGTCTGTCAAATTCATTTGCTCTCCTTGACCACCTTCAGTCTAGAATCTATTCCTTAGCCTAAACTTAGTTATCAAAGTTTGCATTTAATGTGTTTTAAACTTACTTTAAAAAGAAAGATCTTAGTGAATCTATTTTTAATTAACGATAGAGCAAGAAAAGTCTGAAGGAAAACATTTTTACTCCTTAATATCATGTACAGTGTTGATAGCCAATCTTGAGTTTTACAGGATAACCTGAAGAACCATACACAGAAAATAAGATTATGCTTTGATAGAAATAAAAACAAAATGGACTAGTGTCGAATGACTACCAAAAGATGGTGGAATCAATCATTCATCCACAAATGTGGATTGATGTCTATACAAACTTGGTACTAAGATAAAACGGGCATCAAAATCTAGAAGGGTCCTAGCCAATGAAGGAATAGGAGATAACTTGCTTATAATGATCACGTGACCAAAATGTGGACTTGGGAACAAGTGCCATAAAGCTTTCCTGAAGATAGCACATTTTGCTAATGATGGCATTCACGCACAAAGAACTTGCTGTGTCCCAGGAATTTTCATGATTGTTCTGTTACTCATTTAATACTCCTATCAACTTGATGTAGTAGGTATTGCTATCCTCATTTTATAGATGAGGAGACTGAGGGCTTAGTGAGGTTTAGTAACTTATCCAAAGATACATGGCTAGCAAGTGATGTTCAGGATTTGAAATAAGGTGCTTTCATTTCAGAGTCTATGTTTTAACCATTAAAATATACTGCTAAAAGGGTGCCTGGGTGGCTCAGTTAAGCTTCAGACTTTGGCTCAGGTCATGCTCTCACAATTTGTGGGTTCCAGCCCTGCGACAGATCAGAGCCTGGAGCCTGCTGCAGATTCTGTGTCTCCCTCTCTCTGCCCCTCCCCCAAATGCACTCTCTCCTCTCTCTCAAAATAAATATAACATTAAAAAAAAAACAAGGACACTTAGGTGGCTCAGGTCGTGATCTCAGTTTGTGGGTTCAAGCCCCATGTTGGGCTCTCCACTGACCACTCAGAGCCCTCTCTCTCTCTGCCCCTCTTCTGCTTGTGATCTTACTCTATCTCAAAAATAAATAAGTAAACATTAAAAATAATAAAATAAAAATAAATTATGGGGCTATAAATTAGGAGAACAGGAGAGACAAGAATTATGAGAAAAAATAACAGAGAAGCTGGTGTGCAGAGCAGGGTACGTGTAAAAAAGGAGGAGGTGGTTAGGAGGAAAGAGGAATAAAACAGGAATTACTGTAATCCTCAATATTGAAAACTTTTCTGACCCTGCAGTATTCCTGGCAGCTTTTACAAACCACATCAAACTAGTTTCATTTTTTTGTGCTATGCACACTAGCCTGTTAGAAGGCACTAACAAAAATTTCCAAATTATCATTGATGTTCTTTCCCTGCAAGGCATTCCCATTACATTATTTCTTTGTATGCACCCCATGATTTATCAACAAGACCCTTTCAAGCTGACCTTTTCTTTTTAATTATTTTTTGCATCTTTTGTTATAGTTCATTTTCATCAACTTAATTACGTTCCAATAAATAGGGTTCTTTCTTAATTAGCAATGTCCTACTCCTTGACCTTGGGATGTATGTATAACAATAGACATTGCCAGCAGCCTAAGAGAATATATCCCAATTTGTCCTATGCATTATGCTTACTTTTTGTTCACCAAGATGCTATTAATTTAGTAGTTAAGAAGCATGGTAGATTTCATTCCACAGATACATAGAACTGCCAACATTGTGCCTAGCTCATGGTATCATACCAAATGTCCATTTCCTGTTTCCCTTCATTCTATGTCTAGGGTGACATTTGGATGACTTGGCTGACAATGTAATCTGAAAGAAGCAATAAGTTTCAGCTCACATCTGTGTAACTAATCTTATTCTATAGCAGGCAGTTTACTCACACTTCTGATATGTCCACCACTTCCAACTGCTTATAATCAAGTAATTTGTCACATATCATCTTATTTCCTGGGCCAATTAGGAACCTATTTTCTAAACAAACAGCAACAAAAACATCTCCATGTGTTTTTCACATTGCAAACTGAAAGCATATGCTATGTTTTAAACACATTGTCAAATTTTCACTAAAGGTGGGAATGGTTGGGATTTGATTTTGCACTTAAAAAAATGAAACAACTATAGATCTTTCAAGTTTGCTAGTAAGTGGTCAGATTTTGAATAGTATATTGAAAGAAAATAATAGTTTTTAAGAGGTACAAAAGATCTCTTTAAGAGCATTACCTAATACTCTTGTAATATGGCTAAGTGGGATTAATCATGGGTACTCATTGATCAGCAGTGCCCAATAGAATTTTCTGTGATGATCACAATGTTCTATATGTGCATTGCCAAGTATGGTGCCACAGCCTCAGGTGGCTATTGAGTACTTAAAATGTGATTTGTATAAGTGAGGAATGAAATATTTAATTTTAATTCAATTTAAATAGCACATCTGGCTACTACCTACCGTGTACCACAATACGACTATAGATAGTCTATAGATAGGAAGAAGGCGGGAATTTGTAACTCCTAAAACAACATCAATGAATAGATGGGACTTGAAAATCGTGAAGAGTGAACCTAGCAGGTGTAGGTGGATTAAATCTCTCCAATGACTCAAGAAAACTCTGGTTAAAGTCAAGCAGAACTTGAGGGATGTTAAACAATGTCTGTTTCATCAGGAACTTTGAGGAACGGGGCTGTCACACCAGGCTAATTCTTTAATGAAATGGCATCTTTAATTAACTTTTCTAGATGATATCGTCACTGGTGTTTAAGATGAAATTCATTATTTCTCAGCTGAAAACTATAGAATGCCCTGCTGTGTTTGCAGGTAACATCTTCAGTAGATAATTACTTCGATCTTTGTTAGGAGCTATTCACACTGATCTAAGGCCCAGATTCTTTGGTGTAATACTATCATGATCCAAAGCCAAAATTGCTGCAAACCTGTACAAGCTAATTCACTCTGCCACAAAAGTATATCTGACTTATTCATCATTTTAAAAAATAAAATCTGCTATGTTATCAGAACCAGCAAATTTTAGAAAGGGATTTCTTCAAAATATGTTTATGGTAAATTTTAACTGTAGATGGCTTACCTTGCCAGAAATACCCTTTCTGATCTTGTCCACGTGGCTAACTCCTATTCATCTTTCAAGATTTAGCTTGAGCTTCACTTTATGTCTTCTCTTGCCCTACTTCCCAGGTCCTACACTTTCTTGCAGTCATAATAACAGAGATATTGGAGTGAGTGTTCTTTTCTTTCTCTGCTGCTGGACTTAAACCAAATGAAGACAGAGACTGTCCTATTCATCTTTATTTTCCTGAATATCTATTAGGGGCCTGGGCATAGTAAAGACACTGCAACTATTTGATAAATTAGCACATATTCACAAAAACATTTCCATGAAGTATACTAGAACAATTCTTAAGGGTCAGGTCTCAATGAAGGTAATAAGCAGAGACCTGCTTGTCTATATCAAGACAGCAACTGGAGAGAGACCACACAGGTTATTATAAATATTAATTGCCAAAAGGATATCTGTGATTGTATCTCAACATACCTATCTTAAATGCCATGGGTCTATTGCATATAAAGAACATTTCCACGTAGAGTAGGTTTGTGTAGACACCGAGAAAACTCCAGATTCATGGTGGTATACATGCTAATAACTTCACTCATGTACAAACATCTCAGTACCCAAGGGTCACCCCAAGTGCCCAAGTCTTCTCCAGGTTGTAAACCTGTCAGAGTTGCTGGCAAATCATGAAAACATTAAGCATTCCTTCTAAAAGTAATTATTTCTATTAAGATACAATAATTTCCTCAAATTCCATATTCCAAAATATTCTTTTCCCTTGATTATGGAAATAGCCCTTAACTTAGTGGTCATGACATGACAATATTCCAGATGAATTGAGACATCCTAAAGTATTGGTCCATTTTTTTTTTCAAATGACCGCAAAAGAATGTCTACCAGAAATGCATGTATTAGGGTAGGATGCTGAGTTTAGGAAGAGGAATAGTTGCAGAATGCCCCCACCAGACAAGAGGATCTGAACTTCAAGAAGAGGTATATTAGGGTTTCTTGATCAGGATATGTTCCTTTGCAAAAGAATTGATCGCATTCAGCCAGCCATTTAGTCACAGTATACGTGGCTTTCCTTACTGTGCATGTCCCTGAGAATGGCAATTCTGACATGCCAGGCGCCACCCCCAATCAATAACTCAGTCAGACATAAGCCTTTTTGCAGCTCCAAAGGAAACCAATGGGACAATA